CCCTACTCCCTAAACACCATCTACACAAAGGGGGGGAGGGGGGCATATAAGGACTACCTTTACCCAAGGGAGCTCAGTATCAGAGTTCTCAGCCCTGATGATGCAAACTGCAACGTTTGCGAAACGTCGGCATATCGCTGATTCAAGACACGGCTCCATTCCGGAAGCTATACCTAGACATTGTATCAATGGCCGTGAAAGCATCAAATCTAGTACCAACATATTTCTTTTTGACGATTCTAAAAAGAAGGGAGAGGATAATAAAAAGTAAATGGTAAAGAAGATAATAAAGGTAATGTTATTTTTTGAAAATGTTGAATTTCAAAAGAGATTGTTCTCGATTGGAAGAGTATCGAGAGAATGTTTTTAGCGCCGACCACGCTACTACCACCGATCTCTTAACTTACGCGGCGTCCAGTGCATTAAGTTCTTCAAATGCCGAAAATACCGACAAAGTGTTTGAATTCTATAAAATCGCTAAAAGAATATGTTCTTAAGCCTATAAAAAAAGAAAAAAATATAAAAAAATATAAAAAATATAAATATAAAAAAATATTTAAAAAATCGATTCTTTAAACCTATTAAACTTGGATACCTATTCAAAGATGCTCTATATTATTAACCCTTACACTGTAAAGGGGGTCAAATTGACTCCAGCATTTTTTAAAAGCCCGCGTATCTCTTAAACCAGTGAGTTTCAAATCATTGGTCCTATCTGTAAAAAACGATGTTGGGTAGAGGTTGTTGCTTGTACATGGCGGCATACCTGCATCTCTGTGTACTGGAACGCAACGTGGTTAAAGTTGTCCGTGAGACGCCTGTGACTCCCTTTACATACACTTTGTGTATACTTTTTGTGCAAATAAATAAATTTTTTTCGATAAAATTTGTTTTGTTTTCACTTGTTTTATGAAAATATATGAATATTTATTGATACAAGATATAAATGTAGACCTAATCTATAAATACAGCGTATTTCTCGCTATACACGTGTTTTCACAAAGTTAACTATTATTTCATTTTTTCATGTATTTCATCTAAACTATCTATTTTTGTATAATAATACATAAAATAAATAGTGCATAGTAAAGAAAAAAATATTTTTATCCTCAAATTCTGACCTTAATATTTAAAAATTTGCAACAATTCATGTACTAATTTTAAGCAATTAATTATTATTGGTAAATGCATTATATTTTTTTCATAAAAGTCTGATTATTAAACTGTAACTTCCCGTTGTGGATAATTTATTTTGCTTTAATTAATTTTGCTGTATAATAATTTTTCAAAAGTTACAATTTTTTTATTATAACAGTATATTTTTCGTTTTTCACTTTATATATTCGTAAAAATAATGTATTTAAATAAACTATTGTACAATGTTTTTATTCAGATTTCAATTTGGAATGTTTGAAGATGTTACCTGAATTTTTTCAGACTTTTTAAAAACATTTTTTTTTAACTTTTTTTAAAGACTTTTACCCGCTTAAAAACGTGTGGGGTCAATCTGATCCCTGTTTACAGTGTGAGGTTGCAAAAAAACCTTTACAGAGTAAGGGTTAATATAAATTATACATTATGTCAACTATCTCGAAATACTGTCACAAATTAATCTGAAAGTATTTGATAAGACAAGGCACGAATAACACTTGATGAATTTCTTTATGAGAACCAAAATGACTTTTACTGCGAACTATCTAAATATATCTAAAATATAAATTCAACAAACTCCCTCTCTCTTAACTTGATAACTACACGATATCCACACACTGAATTTCATATTTCTTTCTAATACCCAATCAACTAATTAACAATACTTAATTAAATAATAGTTTACCTTGTGTGAGGATCCAGAGTGTATGCAGCATAATCCCTATTCAAATTTTCCGGCGTCGTCTGTCCCAATAATCTATAAATCGATTCGCGCTCCGCAATTACTTCTAACGGTGATAACGAAGCGCCCCAACCTTTGATCGCCCAACCCGCATCCAAAGAACTCAGGAATCCTCTTGCGCATCCGGAACCGGTCGGCCAAAACGGCTATAATTTATTTAAACTTTAAGTCTTCATTGCAGGTAAAACAAGAAACACACAAAAATTAAAAATATATTAGAACTAATATACTACTGTGTCCAAAAAGTAAGACCAGTTTTCAATGTAAATCGCGCGGGTAAACCGCACATCATAAATATATTTTTCCTAAGTTGGCAGCATTGTGACAGACATCTGTGACAAATTTCATGTCAAAACATTCATTACTTTTTGCTTTACCTTTGGTTTTATACGACGCTAAAAGTGCATTCGGCGATTTTTACAATGTCTAATTATATTGAGCAAAGAAGTTGCATTAAATTTTGTTTGCGGAATGAAATTTCGGGTGCAGAAACGTTCAGGATATTGCAGAAAGCCTTCGGGGACCATGCTTTGTCGGAAAGGAATGTTTACAAGTGGTATAAACAGTTCAAAGGAGGTCGTGAAAGTGTTGAAGACGAAGAGCGTTCCGGACGACCATCAACCTCTACCGATGAACAATACATCAAGAAAATCGACCAAACCGGCCAAACCGTCAACAAAGAGTATTATTTGAGAGTATTATTTGTTACGCGTCGTTTGCGTGAAGCTATTCGCAAGAAGAGGCCAGAATTGTGGGCAGACAATTCTTGGTTTTTGCATCACGATAATGCACCTTCTCACACTGCACTCGTTCTTCGTGACTTTTTCGCCAAAAATTCGATTCATATCGTTCCACAACCACCGTATTCGCCTGATTTAGCACCGTGTGACTTCTGGCTATTCCCGAAACTCAAAAGGCCACTGCGGGGAAATCGTTTTAAGACGATAGAAGAGATACAACGTGAATCGCTACGCGCTCTGAAAGCCATCCCGGAAGGCGACTTTAATTCTTGTTTCGAGGACTGGAAAATACGTTGGCATAAGTGTATTGTGTCGGGAGGGGATTACTTTGAAGGCGACGAAATAGATTTGGAAGAATAAATAAATATTTTTTGAAATAAATAAAAGCTAGTCTTACTTTTTGGACACAGTATTACACATATTGCTGCATCTGAATGAAAACTATAAAAAGATATTTTTTATGGAGGGTATATGCCGATAAGTACGACACTAATTCGTAGATCAGTACATGTAGATTAAAAAAGGAAAAAAAAACGCCAAATACACGCGTCCTCGCATCCGTTCCGTAAAAGAATTAATTCATTTTTTCAAAAAAAAAAAAAAGAGTAAAAAATTTTATAAAAAAATAAAAACTAAAATAACAGTTCTTAGATGTATAATTTGAAATTCTACAAAAATAATGAACACGTATATGTACACGTATGTGTATAGAAAAGACCCTTCTAAAGTCTGAATTGAAGTTACTAATACGCAAATTAAAAAAGAATACCAACGATAGCCAAGAAGTGCTAAAGATATCTATATACTTTTTATAAAGAAATGATAAATAATACACCTAAATATATGTAATTACATAATAGAAGTAGTTACATAAATAAATAGATATTTTGTTTTAAAATAACATCAATAAAAGAGAACCGTTGTATACTAGAAAATACGGCGAGAGTGGTGGGACTTCTATTTATTAAAATAATAGTAAATCAATTTATATCTATATACACTAGGTCCTTGACTGTACTTGGTGAAAATTAATTTTCGAGTTTTTTTCGGGACAACTCCTAAAGTTATTCCATTTAAAGAGAAAAAAATTTATGAAAAATTTCAGCTCAATCGGATAACGTCAAACGTAGCACACGATTCTATTAAAAATAAAAAATAATTTTTTTTACAAAAAGTGGGAAAATTCGATAAAAAAAATTTTGAATCAAGGTTAAATATATTTTTATTGTTATTTGTAAATATTGATCATTATATTTACTAGTGAGCACACAATAAGATAAATAAAAAAAATAAAAACATGTAAAGTACTATGTAAATATAATTTTACAAATCCTTCATAAAAATAGATTTCTTGACGTCTGGATATTGATTTATGTGATACGATTTGAAAAATAAGTTATTTTTCCTCCTTCAGTTGTTTCTCGATAAAACTTGATTGTAATCATGCGTAACCCAGGCAGCAAGCTGTCGTTATTTTGATGTCAATATCTCGTTACTATTGATCAGTAACGTCATTTGTCCTTTAAGGACGTGTATTTAACATCATGTTTTAAGACGTCAAAGTGACTTTGCAAAATGACGTTATGATAATATTTAATTTACCATATTATAGACGAATTTCTTTTTCGAATAAAAAGATAAATTTACTATTCTTATAGATATATTTTCATATAATAATAACGTTACAACATTGCATATTGCAGTGCAATGTTGCAGAAACATTGCAATGACATTAATTTGAAATATTACTTTTTAGCAATATTATAGCAATATTTAAAAAATATTACGAATATAATATAATATTTTTTATTTATTTATTAGTTATTTCTATTACCCAATAAGCAAACAATATTTAAAAAACATTTAAAACACATTTGAAAAGACATTTTTAAAACATCAAAAATAATGGGATAAGTTCGCCTTTTTCATTAAAATAACGTTTTTTAACGATTGGAAGAATGTTTTGTTTTTTAATATTTGATAAAGATGTATTTTAACATTTAAAAACGTTTTTCTAAATGTTAATATTTAACATTTAAAAAATTTTCTAAATGTTAAAATAAACACTCATTAAATATTAAAAGTAACATTTTTCCAAACGTTAAAAAACGTTAAAAACGTTAAAAAAACATATTTTTAGTGAAAAAAGAGAACTTATCCCATTATTTCTAACATTTTAAAAATATTTCTTCAAATGTTTTTTAAATTGCTTTGTGATGTCAACACCTAGGTAAACATATTTTATATAAATATTTTATGCATGTATTTCTAACTTCATTTTTATTATATGAAATATTAGAAATATAAATAGTTTATTTTTGTGGTTGTACTAAATAATATTATAAGAAAATTATAATTAGTGCTTCAGCTACATATGGAAATAATAAAATACACTTAATATCAATTGAGGAAATAGCGCAGTCAAGATGGTAGACTAGGAACCTAGAGGTGTATGAGGTCTCGAGTTCGCGTCCGACCAGTACTGAATAAATTTTCAGGTGCGAAAGTAGTGAAAAATCAAATAAAACAGCTAAATTATGTATAAAATCAACATAAACTGACTAGTTGCAAGCGTTTCCGCAAAATATATTTTTTTTAACTAGTGTCATACGTCATTGTTACGTCATTTTATGTAAAAAAATGACGTCATTAAGTCGTCGTATATATGACGTCATTGGTCTGTGACTTAGGACTGTCAAAAAGATGTCATTATTTAGTTAACTTGAAAGATAAATAACGTAACAGATGACGTAAAGTTCACGTCATTATCACGGCTGTCTGCTACCTGGGTAAGCTTAACTTCTCGTTCTGCTGTATCATTAATGACTTTAAGTGTTTTAACAACTTCCATCCCAATTTTAAAACTTTCTTCGTTTATCCACGTAGTAGGATCTTTTTCAATAAAATCCATTGGTATTGAAAATCTTTCGAAAAAATATTTCGACTGTTGTGTTATAAATTGCTCAATTCCACGGTTCAAATAATTTGGAATATTTTTTGCATTTATTATCAGTCTTTTCATCGATTCGCCGGTGCTTTCATTGAATTTCAATGAGCGTACCATTCGTTTTTTTTTTTGTTTCAATTGTAACGTGTTCATAAAAAAATCCTAGTGTTGCTGTTTCTGACATCAAATGATTACAAAACTTGTCTAGTGTGACGGCTTATATTTTTATCAATTGTACGGTATTCGTAAAGATCTTTTAAAATCTGTAAATCTTGAGAGGAAGCTTTTGCTGCAATTAGAGCTTGGTTTCATGCTTTTACGTATAAAGTAACAAGGAATATGCAAATATCTCAAAATCCAACTTTTTCTTTGGTCGTGATAATGAATTCGCCTCGAAATAAAAATATTTTCAAGCTGTAAATAGCCTTGGCCATTCAACGAGCGTGGTGAAAAGCTCCTGGAGCTCAAAAAGAAATTCCTCGAGGAGGTATATCGCCTAGAAATATAACCACAAGTTCGAATAATTCTCGGTAATTTTCTCGTGATTCTTGCTCCTTTTCCAACATTGTTAACATAAATTGAAGTGCTTCCTTTGCAGTTGATACTTTCACCAAGCGTCGTATTTCATTATCTTCCGGGTTTAAAATTTAATTTATTTATTAATGACCAGGCCTATTAAAATTTTTTTAAACTGCGGTATATTTGGATCCGATAATATCGATATTTTTTCCTCAAAAATATTTTTAGTTTATATAATCGTAAAATAATTTCATATATATGGTGTCGATAGGGTAAATATAGAAGGTCTCGTCCTATTTTCTGTTCTAGAAGAATATACGCACCTTGAAAATATCCAGTATTAGATGCCGTGATATCAAAACAAAGTGCTTGAACTTTATCTAACGAGTTTCCACTCGTTTAGAAGTTTGTGTACCACATAAGCTTAGTCGTTTCCGCTACCAGAAGAGATTACAGGAATTGCCAATAGTTTTTTATTTCCTTTATAAGATATTAATATTGCTAATCTCTCTACCCGTTCTTTATATATTAACGCAGGTAACACATTTCCGTCCCAAAGTATAGTAATTGCGTCCAATTCAGATGTTTTAAAAGTAGTTTTAAAAGTAATAGTTATTAGCAAAATTACTTTTTTAGACAATGTACACACGTGACTTCTTTTAGATATATCTTAGAAATTTACTAATTGCCTTCACATTATTATAATATTTCTATTATAACTTTTTTCTATTTTTACTGTGCATGTGTTTTCATTAATTTTTTAATTTTTTAACGAAATTATACAGGGTGTCTCAGTTTCTTCTCCGCAATATTTGTAGGAACAGATTAAGGTGAACATAAAAATTCTATATCATTTTGCGATGTTCACAATAATAGTCGAGATTTTAATTGTGAAAGATTAAGGAAAAAGCGTGCGCGGAATAATAGAAGGAGGAGCGCT